GTCCAATTTTCTCTTTCTACACCCCACATGAATATGCAAGCAGGGGGATGAATGACAAAAAAGTGTGAATGAAGTGTAAATGTACACTGTCTCTCATTACTGGCCCCATGGTGCCATAAACACACAAACGCTGCAACAGTATCATATTCTTCAACTTATCATTTCAATATCTTTAATTTCATCATTTGTAGAAGTTCACCTTTTGCTTCTTGTTTTGACATTAGTCCTCTGGCAGTCCGCCTTCATCTCGTATTCAACTTTCAGCTTACATCTGGAAGCTTGATTGTATATCAGAATGCAGATAATTTCCTGTTCAAATCTCTTATCTGTCTGTCATGCCCAGTTGTTGGCTCACTTTCTATCTCCTCATCTGTATTCCAAACAGAGATTGCAGTCAGATAAGAGAGAAAGAAACAGAAATTCATCCCTCCCATACACTCTTCTCTCTCCTCACGACCGCCTACCTTGCCTTCCCACCTCCCTTGCTCCCATTCTGACTCATACTGAAATCCCAGTGAGCCTCCTCTCAACCCCCCCCCCCCCCCTTCCCCCTCCACCCCCACCCCTCCGCTCTCATTTGTGTTTTCTCTCCCTTTGATTGCCAAGCTGGCTCAAACGCAGTAAGCAGGGCAAGAGAGAATGAGCAAATGAAAAGATAGAGAGGGAGGGAGACAGGGAGGGAGAGGAGGAGGAGGAAGAGGACTCCGTCCTGCCAAACGTGCCCATAATGAGGATTCTGTCAAAGGAGAGCAGGGGAGGAGGAGGCGCGCGTGTGTGTGTGTGTGTGTGTGTGTGTGTGTGTGTGTGTGTGTGATGGTGGTGGTGGGGGTGTGTGTCGGAGTGAGATGGAGGTTTAGAAAGAGTGGGTGTTTATTAGTGAAACCCCTCTCACCCCCGCGTCGTTACCTCCTCCGTCTCTGTGCACTTCTTGCCTGCAAGATTTGTGAGATCGCAAACCCACACTCACACACAGCAGCAACTCCACATCCACCCCACACACACGCACACGCGCCTAAGCAGTGACAGATATTGTGAACCCATATCTAGTCAGAAACTTTGGATATTTGTGTGTGTCTTAGTGTGTTTTTAAGGTTGTGTGACGGAGGGGGAGGAAGAAACATGCGTGTAATGGTGCATTTGCTTCCTCAGTGACATGTGTTCCTCAGCCTCTGGAGCCGATTAAATGGCCCCAGCAAAATTGACTTACCTGAGGTGCACATGACAAGATTATTCCCATGATTTCATTACATCTACAGAGCATCTGTGACAAAGCATGCCTACATGGGCCGTCCTTTTGTGAAGTCATATGCCGTCTCGTCTCATCTGCTGTAACTCCAACAGTGACTCACACAAAACTTCACAACATTATGCCAAAGTCATATGCTGAATGTAATTACCGTGCAGTGCCAGCTGTATGTGAGTATGTGTGTGTACAAGCGGGGGCGTCGTGTGTGCTGCATATACAGCCTAGTGAAAATGAAGCAGGAGTTTCAATGACAGTGTATATCTCAAAATCAGCTGTAAAAAAACAAACTCACAGACCTGTGTCATTACAACCTCATGCTGTGTGCAATCAATTTAATTTGACTGTGTTCCAGTCCTGGATACATACATTAGAAAACTTAATAGCATAATATTTAAATGCCTGTAAACTAGTTTGTTCTCATGTAGGCCAACTGGTTCCAGATAGTGGCACCGTAACACTGGAGGCCACTCTTGATTGTATTATTGGCTGCAGCCAAATATTGTTCAAATAAGCAGAACTTTAGAGCAAAGATCCAAACTGAAGTTGTAAATGATACCAACTATATCGTAATTTGCAGCACAAGAACATAGGATATTACTATTTGGTGGATAAGTGCAGCCATTTAAAACATATGGAGTTTGATACATTTACTCAGCTCCAATGAAGAGTTGGAACAAGATAATCCTGAAAATACAACGAGACAATAATTTATGTGGAATGAAATGATTTTAACAAGCCTGAAGCTACTTAAAGATGGTATATTAAGGGTTGAGGATAGTGTTGTTAGTGCATAACATAGTCAGGAGTAATGAAATGTAGTTTTTGTCTTTGATTAATGTCTTTAATGAAACTTTTATCAGATGATTTAATACAGTCAATAGCTTCCACTGCTACAATATGTGATCAATTCTGCATTCTTTGTTTAAGATTCTCGGTTTTCTGTTTGGCTCCTCCGCACCGTCACGTCACTCTATCTCATATTGTCTTTTAGCTCATTCCTCCCCTGTCACTCCCTCTATCTCATTTTGTGAATTATACATTAAAACAGTCAAAATGGATATACTCCAAACATCTAGTGCCAGCAAATATGCGTCACACAAGTCTTTCTGTCTGTCTCTCCTACACACGCCCTTTTCATTTCTGTCTCTCTCACCACTTACGTGGATCCCATTTCAGTCATCTCACTTTTCACTCTTGTTGATTTGTTACCCGATTCCTAACCTCAGCGTTTTCAATCATCTCCATCCTCAACCACAATGTCCCACTCTTGTCTCTCCACCTTTCTCTGCTGACTGTATTCCCCCATCTGTCCTCTTCCTCCTCCACCACTCCAATCAGCTCTAAAAGTCATCTCCTCCCACCTCCCAGTGTCCCAGTGGGGGGAGACAGAGAGAGACGGACAGACAGATAGAGGGAGAGAGAGAGAGAGAGGATGAGATGGGGGCAGAAGACATCGAGATATGATTGGGCTGGAGAAACCCCCTGGTGTCAGAAATGCACCTGCAAAAACTCCCTGCTTCCCCCGCTTTTCTCATCTGTATTCACAGTGTCTCCCCCTCCTGCTCTCTCCTCCTGCATCATGCCTCCTCACCTCACCACCTTCCTTCCTCCCCCTCTCTGTCCTTCTCTTATATTTGTCTCTTATATTTGTCCATCTCTTATCATCCTGCATTGCTCCACCTGCACTGTGGTGCAGCACTGACAATCAGAACTCTGCACACATACACGGAGGCACGCAAGTACACACACTTACAGACTCACGCACACACAGGGAGACACACGCCCACCACTTCCGGCAGCTCCCCCCCTCCCTCTCTCACACCTCTCCACTGCAGACACGAAACATTCTACAACCCCTGGTGTGCTAGTGCTTCATCAAGAGACACTGCTAACACTACATCAAAACAGTATTCTGCATTCCCACACAAAGTGGCTTATTGTCAAACTAATTAGCGTTATTACACAATGAAAAAGAGAGAAAGGGTTGATTAACGGAATAATGTGAATCATGAGAATCATGATCAACTTCTTAATTTAATTGCAAGGGCTTTACATAAAATATGAAATACATTAATCATGAAACATAGTAATAGACAACAACAATAATTTAATTGGACAATGAGAGTAAAACCAAACCTTGTGCAATTAGAAAGATTTTGAAATAAACAGAAAATGCAAACAATAGATAAATACATGATCTACAATACAATAGCCCAATTTAACGGTTGCCTGCCTGTTTTGTGGTATGGGATATAATGTAATAGGCAATTTAGGACCAAATGAACTTATATTATATACACACATGTGTATGTGTAGACATATCTGATTACTATGCCAAAGAAGTGAGCCATCCAGCACCTTGGATGAATAATTTAGTGACAGGATGAAGGAGCGTGTACGGAAAAAGAGGTTTGGCTCTGGATGAAGAATCATGTGTGGGAGATTTATAGGAAGGACACGAGTCTCTGTCCCTTTAATTTGGTGTTGCTAGGGAAATGAAGCTGTTTACACTAGCACCAGCCACACCGATGATGTCTGCCTGAACTCTCCACGCCCCCCCCCCGCCCCCCACACACACACACACACACGCACACATGCACACACACACACATGCACTACTCAGTCTTTCTGTGTATGTCTCTGTCATTTGTTTCCGCCGTCCCACAATTACCCTCCTCGTGCAATGTGTCAGTTCACATCACAGTCATGAGTGGAAGACATGAGAGAAAAGATGTGACAAGGAGGAGATGTTGCTTCATTCACATACATTACTTAGATGGAAAACAAAAGTAGATGGGAGAAAGTTTGCTGTTGGGCCAATCCAGAGGGTTACAGGACAGCTGAACTAAAAAGTCAAATAAGTAAGCAATCCTGACATCTAGTGGCTATTGTGTTGAATTGAGGGTGTGTATGTATATAGGATATCTGTCTGTCTGTTTCTTTATATAATGTGCAGAACTTTAAGCCCCCTTCCCTCAGGTTTTATATGTAGGTCAAGGCCTACGTAAGAATTACATAACATTTTAGACTGACACACATGTCAGATTAAAACAGAAAATGCATATTATAATTATATACTTAATTAATAGCTAAATATTTTGGAGAATTAACCAAGAGTCTATGACTATGAGGACTTCATGTGAAATCATCCACAATACTTTTTTAATCAAATAACACATGTATACATAAACACATTTGGTGGCAAGATGTAATCCCTATTTGTTCATTTCTTTTTTAATTTTTAGAAAATATTAAGATAAAATTTTATATACATATTATAGTATAGTATTCATAGGTCATAGTTCACAAAACCAGCAATTAGCCCCCATCAAAACAACATATGTCTGATAACCTAAGGGGAAATTATGTTGATAGCCACAATAGAAAATACATAGACAGATATGAAGACAATTAACCAAAAGGCTGGGAGAAAAAGCCATAGTAAGGATTTACATGAGTTTATTCTGTGTCAGACAAATAAGGACTTTTTTTGTTTCCTTTAGTCTAAAAAGGGAAATTAACGTTAATAGCCTATTAGTAGTAATGCTATCGTAGCCTTGTGAAATAGATGTATAATAATTAAATCTTGAATGCAAGACTTTTACTTATAATGAAAAACCTGTCACTTAGGTTGAATTGACAGGGGACCGCACTCCATTACCCGACTGCCTTCGCTATTGTGTCTCCCGGTGAACATGTTTGATCCAGCTGGGCCACCGTACTTGTTGTGTTTGTTGTTTCAGTTAAAGCAAAGATGGCGAACGAACTGGACAGAGTACGAATCTCAGCTGCGGAACTCAGAGCTGTAGCGTCGAATTCAGTCGATAATATTGACTATCAGAAAGGTGAGATTAAGTGAAGTAGATAACTAAAAGAAATGCATTCGTCAAAAAGTCAGTAAAGAAGTATTCCAAGTTAGATAAAAGTAGCCTACGGAGTTGCTAAGTTTGTAACCAGCTAATGTTGTTAGCTAGCTAGCTATCTGCCTACCCATTCTTTGGTCCCGCGCGGGCTGTTTTAAACGCCCCCTTCAACCATAACGACACCAGATCGTTTATGAGCGACTGCTTTCACGACTAAACCCTGTTTCTAATAGCCATATTGTTAATTATATTTACTCCATTTACTTTAAGTCGATTAGTAGGACGAACGAGTCCGTATTATTTGAATGCAGCGTTGACGTTGAAAGGTGTTACGAGAGATAATCTCGACTCTCGTAACATTAATCCTTAAATGTTAGTTAACGTCAGATATTTAACTGTCGTTAACATGACTGTTAACTTTTCACAATTCCACTGCTGTCTGACATTTACTGTAAGGTAGTTTGTGTTTGTAAAGCGTTGTGAACATATTACCTTTTCCATGTGCAATGTTTAGTGTGTGTTGGGTGGGGGGGGGGCGCGTTATTGTGTGTACATGCACATGTGTGTTTCCAGCCTAGGTTCTTTATTACTTTATTAAACTGATATATTGTTTATGTTTGTTATTGTCAAGAAATCATACTAAAAGTGCCTGTTGTAGCTACAAAAACACATGCATTGGACACTCTATTGCACTGGATGCCTGTTCCTTTATTGCAATGAAACAGGGACTGTAACTTATAGTTTTTTTTTTTTATTTATTAGTCAATTCAACATACACCATTCTGCTGCCACCAATACTTGCGAGATCACTAAATGCATATTACGGACAGCTGAAAATAGTCTCCAACAACTGCACATTTTTTTCGTTTTTTATTTCTGTATTTTTGAACTGTATTTGTGACACATTTTAAACATTTTATAATGAATGAACAATGAATGGTATTGGGGCTGGTTGCCACAAACAAGGAAGGGATGTCAGAAAGTACTGAGAGACAGTCTGGGGCATTTTTAAATTAGTTTTTTTCATGGGTTTTATTGACAAGAAGAGAACAACCTTATTTTAACACCCATACTCAATCTTTTTACTGTTTGTGTTTTTGCTTCTGCAGAGAAGCAGGAGGAGCATCTAGTAAACAAGCAGCATAGGAAGTGTGAAGGAAAACGCCCTGAACTACAGCGCTACCAGCCGGTAGCTGGACATGGACGGTGTCACCGTGACAGTGAAGAGGGAGAAACTGGTCAAAGTGATCCCCTGGCTGCTGATTCACATGAGCATAGTCAACCGTCACAGAGTAAGAAAAGGGGAGTCTCAGAGAGACATGGGTGCACAGACGACGGGGCAGACACCAACATAACGGAAGAAGACAGGATGAGAGGTGACGGTAGTAACACTCAGAACTGTAGAAAGGGCTTTCACTCACAGCCTAAATCAGAAGCAAATAAAGAGAAGGGCTTTGTTGAAAATGACAGAGAACACCAGGAAGCTGCTGGAGCTGCTAAGCCAACGCGGAAAGCCCGCAAACCTGACCGAGAATTTTATCAACCTGGGAGCCGGAGGAGCATCCAGGGAAAGGACTCTGGAGTTGGAACGGAGCAGGATATGCCTCCCCCCAGGCAGAATACACAGCAAACTGAGCCAGAATGCCAGTTGAATGCAGGGGAAAGAGAGGGTAACAAAAAAACATCCATTCAGAAGCAGGGAGGGAAAGCTAACGAAGTAAAAGGTCTACTGGAAAACATCAAATTGTCTAAATCCAGTGAAACAAACAGAAAGCATGGGAGCCGTGATGTGGAAAAAAACCCATTACCTTCTGATGCTTCAGTGGAGAAAATTACGAGCAAAGTAGAACAACTCTGTGTGAAAGACGGAGGTAAAGTGGGATGTGAAAGCCAAGCTGTTGAAGAATTAATTTGTGGGAGAGGGGAAACAATTGATAATGAAAGGCGAGACCAAGGGGGAGGAACAAAAGAGGAGGATGAAAAGGTAGAGAAGAAGAGGGAAAGGGGAAACCGCAGGAGAAGAGGAGGGGATAAGGAAAAAGAGAGGAATCAGGATTCCAGAAGAAGAGAAGATGAAGCAGGTGGTGGAGGAAGGAACGACCACGGGAAACCCGAGAAGCAAAGAGACAGGAGAGCAGCAGAAGCAGAAAGGGATACCAAAGCTGGTAAGACTAGAGACACACAACAAAGCAAAGGAAGAGAGAATCACAGAGAAAGCCGAAGAGGAGACAACAACAACCAATTCAGAGATGCTGAGAAAGATGCAAGGACAGAAAGAAATGCAGACAGGGCTGTTGAAAGAGGCGATAGAAACAAATCCAATGCAAACCTCCCAACACCAACCTCAAAACGCTATTCCAAATCAGATATTCGGCGCTCACGAAATCGAACTTACAGCAGTAGCTCAGCTAGCAGCGTGACCAGTCTGGATGGTCCTCGACTAGGGAGGGAGGTCGAGAGTACCAAGCCCCGCTTGGAGCCTGTGCACAATAACAAAGGGGGGATGGCTAATAGTGGAGTCGGACGAAGGAGTCATTTACAAAGCTGGACAGCCAATGGGGAATCATCTACGGAAGGGAGTGAGATGAGTGACATAGCAGAAGATAGGAGGAGAAGAAGAGGCGGGGGGGAAGAACTAAGTGCAGAGAGGCGGAGGGAAGAAAGGAACAGACTGAAAGGAAACAAAGGCGGAGGTCGAGGAATCCTGCGGGTGTCTCTTGAAAAAATGTCTGGCACCGCGTCACATAGCGGGACGTCACAGCAACGCAAGCCAGCCGTAGTTCCTCGTGGCAGAGGTGGAGGTATCCTGGTGCTTCCAGCTCGCACAGACATCTCCAATTCGCCTGAGGTTGGGCAAAGGCTTCTTTTTGGTGGAATTAGGGGAGGCGGAGCTTGCAGAAGTCGAGGAGGCCGAGGAGGAATGAGACGACTCTGGGATCCCAATAACCCCGACCAGAAACCTGCTCTTATCAGCACCCAGTCCTCACAGCATTTAGCTCTCCAACAGCCTATATATCTCCAGACCGGGACCGGATATGGACAACTTCACTTTCTGGACACAGACGATGAGGTAGCAGGCAGTCCTCCGGTCCCGCAGGGTGAGCACTTTCGAACCCAGCAAGCTGCTGCCATGGCCTACTACAAATTCCAAAACTCTGACAACCCCTACAGCTACCCCATGTCCACCAGCAATTCACATAGTCCTGGCACTACCACCAACCAGCGCTATCCATATCCGTATCATATGGGGCCCTACCAAATGGCTTCCCCTACAGCCTGCTCCCCTGTGTATTACAGGGGAGCAGGCTATTCCCAGCCTGCTGCAGGAGGTAGTTTGACATTTGAAGAGGTGGAGCAACAAGCCAGAGGAGAGCTGGGGAGGCAGCTGAGGGCTGCGGATGTGCAGGAGCTCCAGCTCAGTAACCTGCTGTCCAGGGACAGAGTGAGTGCTGATGGACTGGATCGCATGGCCCAGCTCAGGTGAGGACAGGGGAGGGAAAAGATGCGTTCGTGGCATTTTTGCTTTGTGTGTGTGTGTGGTTGTTTTACTCATTTGTCTTATACTGTCCTGTTATGCCCTCCCGTTTTCTAGAGCTGACCTTTTGGGGCTATACGAGCAGATCATCCTGACAGACATCGACTTCTCAGACTCTCAGAACGTGGATCAGTCTTTGTGGAAGAATGTCTTTTACCAGGTCATAGAGCGCTTCCGGCAGCTACTTAAAGACCCGACATGTGACAACACCCCTCATATCAGAAACATGCTGCTCACGCTGCTTGATGAGGTAAGGAATGTGTGGGGAAATTCAGACAGGGCAGCATTTCACAAAATCAGGAGGTTACTGCAGCTAGCATCGAACATCTGTGTGTCATATTCTTGCTTGAGGATATGTCAAGACAGATGATAACTAACTAGTCTCTTTGGGCACATAATGGGATACACAGTTGGGACCTTGCTTAGTAATTTTGATTGTCTGTGGTGATCATTGTTTGTGTTTTACAGGGGGCACTATTCTTTGATGGGCTGCTTCAGAAGCTGCAGACAGTGTACCAGTTTAAGTTGGAGGATTACATGGACGGCATAGCTATCAGGGCTCGGCCATTACGTAAAACGGTACAGCACCTTCTATTCTGTGTTTGGTTGTGTGTGCACTTAACATATGTTCAAAGATTTATCAAATGATGCATATTAAAATGATTGAATATACATTTCCAATGCCTATACCTGAATTGGGCAATTGAAATTCAAAAGTATGTTGTGAATTGTTAAATGTTTCTGTCTTTTCCAGGTGAAGTATGCTCTCATTAGTGCACAGCGTTGCATGATCTGTCAGGGAGATATAGCACGTTACCGGGAACAAGCCAGTGACTCGGCCAACTACGGCAAGGCTCGCAGGTAGGCTGTAACTCAAGCATTCTCTATGTATTTTGAAATTTCTTAACACACATTCAAAAGCACTGGATGTGTATTGGCATTGAATATTTGATTTCGACTGAGTCGGGAGGCTACCGTGTAAATATCTTGTAGCTGGTGGTCAGGAGTCAATCTTGGACTTATTTGTTCTGAGATGCTGGCTGCTAAAAATGTCAAACTTTGAACCATAGTAGACAAAGTTCCTTCCTCGCTAAATATTACCAATTCGATAAGAACCGTATAATTTAAAGTAGAAGCAGCAAATGTTGAAAGTCCACCTCGTCTCTCTGACGGTATCTCATGATTACACATTTCCATTTTTCTGCAGCTGGTACCTGAAAGCCCAGCAGATTGCCCCCAAAAATGGACGTCCATATAACCAGCTGGCCCTGCTGGCAGTCTATACAGTAAGTGATGTGTAGTTTAGTAGGGGTGGTAGGTTGAGAGCTGGAAAGGCTCTTTGCAGGCACAATTGGATAACTTGAATGTCACTGACTGTATTTTTCCTGGCATGTCTACGGGATAATTGAAAAACACAACTTAAAGAATAACGATCTGTTGTCACCCACCCAGTGTGCGTCCTTCTGCAGGATGCGTCCCTCCTCTTACTTGCTTTCCACTTTTCACATTTACAGAAGCGGAAGTTGGATGCTGTGTATTACTACATGCGCAGCTTGGCAGCTTCCAACCCCATCCTGACTGCAAAGGAAAGCCTGATGAGTCTGTTTGAGGAAGCTAAGCGCAAGGTCAGACATAAAGTTAAGTCGTTTAAATGTGCCAAATATTTTACCATTTCTTTTGGACCAAAATCTTTCGGCAGCGTGAGTGCTTCTTGTTGACAGACTTTGTTCTTGTAGGAAGAGCAGCTTGAGCAGAAGAAGAGGCAGGAGCATGAAGGAGGCTCCAGGGGGCCGGCAGTAAGAGGAAGAGGAAGAGGGGAAGATGGAGCACGTGTGGAACTTTGGATTCGCACCAGCAGACAAGCGGCAACCCCATCGTCTCAGAGGGGAGGTAGTGAATCCAGCAGAGACTCCGAACAGGATGGAGAGCTGGGAAGTCTAAGCGCCAGTGATGTAAGATCCCTTTCTTTCTTTTGCTCTCTCTCTCTCTCACTCACTCACTCATGCTCCCATTCACATCCAGTCTCATGTGCCTTATGCCTTTTATATGTATGCACTCAAAGACAGTATTTGTCAATGTATCCTGTTGGAAGAGGCATCTGTATGTTTGTCCTCTTTGCTCTTTCCAGCTTCAGTACCCTTTTCAGTCCGTTTCCTTCCACTCCTATTGTTCAAATCCTCTGGTGCATTTAAATGGTGACATCCGCTCCAAACCTCACTGGATGAAGTCATGTGTTTTCTTGTCATGTGCTGTCGGGCTTTTAGCTAAATACAACTTGTTTCCCAAAGATTAGTAATACTTTATTTTTTTCGTCCTTCTCTTTTGTTTTCTCCAGCTAAATAAGAGATTCATTCTGAGTTTCCTGCATGCACATGGAAAGCTCTTCACTAAAGTGGGGTGAGTGTCTCATGTAGTCCAGCTCTTAAATTCATAGACTGAATGAGTCTATGGATTATTTATTTTTGTGTGTGTCTGTTTTTTTCCTGTATGTTTTAATGAATGTGTGCGTCTTGCCTACACAGCATGGAGTCTTTCCCTGGAGTGGCGAGCCGTGTTCTGCAGGAGTTCAAGACGGTGCTCCAGCATGGCCCCTCCCTACTGGGCTTCACACACATGCTGCAGATCGTCACCATCAACATGTTCACCATACACTATGCCCACAGCAGAGGTGAATACTGCACACAGGATCGCATGATAATAATACAAATGAAAATGCACATGCTGGGGCTGCACACAAGTCATTCCTAATGTTGATATAAAGGGTGTTGAGGAAGTACTGGTTCAAGTTCTTGTTTGTGTTTTTTCAGGTGAAGACGGAGAAGTGCGGTCCGTTTTACAGGAGCAAAGCACTGCCCTGGGCCTCGGCATGTTCGCACTACTGGTGCAGCGCTGCACAGAGCTGCTCAGGGATACTCCTGCAGGTACGGACACAGAAAGTATCTGCCGCATTTCTTAAAGTTGTGGCTCTAGACTGAAATTAAGTGTTGTATTCAACAAAAATCTTTTTCTCTCTTTTAGAACCAGTCCCCATGGCAGATGGAGACGAGCAGGGTAAAGGGGAGGAGCTGGAGGGTATGGTGCGGGTCTCTGCCTTTCCATTGGACCTTAGAGAACTACTGCCAAGTATCAAGGTCTGGTCTGACTGGATGTTGGGGCAACCAGACCAGTGGAACCCACCACCCTACAGTATAGAGTGAGCATTTTAAACCTGCAGTACCTAATGTTATTTGGGCCACTTAAGTGCAGTGGAAACAAGTCGTGAACACAACATTGACATGTTTTTAAATTAAATGAAAAAGATTAGACAGAATTATGTATTGATTTATAGTCTCTTTAGATTACTACTATTGGTTCTGCTCATAGCCTCTACTGGTACTTGTACACAAACCTCACATACCAACTCTCTTCAGAGAGCAGTTCTTTAAAATACTCATTCCTCAGCATCAGTTTTCTCTCTCTCTCTCTCTCTCTCTCTCTCTCTCTCTCTCTCTCTCTCTCAAGTTGCAGCCCAGATGTTTGGCAGTGCCTGGCTGACCTGTGTAACATGCTGGCCCGTGTAGACCATGAGGAAGTGCCGCTGTTCAAAGTCGACACTGAAGAAGTTGAGAGCGATGAGGAGTTGACTGTGCTGCAATTGAAGGAGGACCGGCTGCTTGCTGGCTTTGTCCCTCTGCTTGCTGCACCACAGGAGCCGTGTTACACAGACAGACACACTGACGCGGTGAGTGGAAAGTAGAGGCGTTATTTCTTTTTGATGCAACACTTCAGCCCTGGTACATGCTTCTTGTTAATTCTTCTGTCACCTTCAACATGCCAGATTTGACCGGTACCACTAATGGTCCTCTTCCAGTTCTCATGCACATCTACCTCTGTTCTCGTTCCTTAGGCAATAGCAGCAGATTGTAAGAGAGTGACAGTGCTGAAGTACTTCCTGGAGGCTTTGTGTGGACAGGAAGAGCCTCTGTTGGCCTTCAAGGGAGGCAAATACATCTCTGTGGCAACTTCTCCATCTACTAACTTAACGGATACAAGGAGCAGGCAGGATTCTCTAACGGAGAAAGAGGTGACAGATTTCCTCCTACTTTCCCTCTAATAAATTGTTTCCTCCTCATTAAGCTCCCTCTATGTTTTCATCCCTGACTGCACTCCTGTCTTTTAACATTTGACCTACACAAAATGGTGTAAATTAGATCTGTCTGTCTGAAAATACTGGAAGCAAAATTGCTGAAAATGTGTCTTACCCGTGTCTGTTTGGCAGGCTGATGATGTCATAGTGGAGGCGGAGTCATCTCTCTCCGCATCAGAAGGAGAGGATGAGGCGGGAGACAGCGAGAATGACATAAGACAGCTGAAGGCGCGACGCCACGACCTCACAAACAAACTGGCACAGCAACAGAAGCGCAGGGACAAAATACAGGTAAAACAGACGTATACATTCATAACAATACATATTCAAACATGTATATTGTGATGGGTATTAGTCTGTATGTCTGAGATTCTTTATGTTCAGGGATTAATCAAAAAACCGTGTGTGTTCCAGGCGGTGCTGCAGACAGGCGGGCAGTTGGAGCTGGAAGTGAGGCCTCTCTTTTTGGTTCCAGATACCAACGGATTCATTGATCACTTGGGAGGGTTGAAGAAACTCCTTCAGTGTGGAACATACATAATAGTTGTGCCACTTATCGGTAAGACTGAAACAAAAAGAGGAAATACATGAATGGATGAGTGAAGAAGGATTAAATCGTGGTGTTGTGACGTGTGTAGAATCATAAGAATGCCCCATTTGGCTGAGGTTAAGTGTAGAAAAAGGACATCTTTGTTTACGTATACTTATTACTTTACTCATGGTGCGATGTGTGTTCTCTCTCACAGTGATTACAGAGTTGGACGGCTTGGCTAAAGGCCAGGACAACTTTGGTGGAGGAGTGGGCTCAGGAGGACATGGCACTGGCGGTCGCGGCAACTATAATGTTAGCGCGGCCCATGTGCGGGCCGTGCAGGAGAACGCCCGGTTGGCTGTGGCTTTCCTGGAGAAAGGATTCGAAGCCAGGGAACCGTACCTCCGAGCGCTGACGAGCAGAGGAAATCGGCTTGATTCTATTGCCTTCCGCAGTGAAGACACCTCTGGACAGCAGGTGAGAGACCAAATATTTATAGCTCGTATTATTTAATCTTGTTAAATTTTGGTGATTTGGTTTCAGATTATGCAATGACGAGAGGCTTTTTCTTTTGCTGGGTAGCAGTGGTTGACTTCTGATTGAAAATGACAACTTACATCAAATGTTTGTACTGTTTTTCAATTCCTCCTCAGGGTACCAATGATGATGTGATTCTGTCCTGCTGCCTCCACTACTGCAAAGACAAGGCAAAAGATTTCATGCCTGATCAGAGAAGTATGTAACATTGCCTGTCATTCATTCAGCGTACAGAGTTCCTAACACGCATGTAATCTGATGTGAATAACGTTTATCTCTTGCTACTCTGGCTTATCCCCCCTTTTCCACTCACAGATGGGACAGTGAGGCTCCAAAGGGAGGTGGTGCTCCTTACAGATGACCGTAACCTGCGCGTCAAAGCTTTGACCCGCAACGTCCCAGTGCGAGACATCCCTGCTTTCCTTATCTGGGCCAAAGTGGGCTGAACCAGGCTGCGTTGGAATCAAAGGAACCCAACTGCTGAAGCCTGCTTGCGACTCAGCCACGAGAGAAGACACACTTAAGCGGAAGAAGGAAGAAGAGAAGATACCAGGGGAGAGGAAACGATAAAGAAAGCGTAGAACCACTTCATATGAAATACAAGCAGATGCAATGACAGCAGGGTGGTTTCAATGAGCTTTTCCCCCTTGTGATGAAGTGTGCGCGTGTGTGTGTGTGTGTGTGTGTATGTGTTAAGATCAGTGGGCTTCCCCAGAAAGAGAGAGGGAGACTTGACAAGTCTCAGGAAGGCTGGACTGGAAGGAAGGAAAGAGATGGAGAGGTTGGATTTGTAAGTTGTCCGGTCCGGCCTTGAGCATCTGCGCTTAGTTGGTGAGTGTGTACTCGGCAAGCAGTGTTAAAATTTGAGGCTGATGGTAGAATGAGAGTGTTTATGGTCATTTAATTGATTAAAGACAACCGTAATGAAGGCCATAACTGGCACTTCCACACTTCTCATAGGGCCCAGTCGCATACACTGCTTCGGCCTCTACAGCAGCGATGAGATAAAGGTAGTCGGAGAGAAGCACAGCTGGAGGCTCTTTGTCGGGACAGTAAACAGTGGGTGACTGTAGTGAGGGTTAGTTGAGCCCTTGTGCAACTTCAGCACCTCCAAGTCATCACCTGCAGGTGTGGTATTTCCTGCAAACTCAGGAAGTGCTTAATGCTTGTTTGGTAGCTTGGGTTGTTCCTCCAGCTTGATGCTAATGTTAAGTCTGGATACTGTAAGGACATGTTTTGATGAAGTCAACAACAACAACAAAAAATTGATTCAAACTTAATTTTTGGTTTTTACTTGTTTTTGAGCTAATGTGTAAAAATTTAGTTTCCTCCTTGGGGGGCCATTTCTCCAGAACCATGATTTTATCAACTTTTTTTTTTTTACAGATCTGGGTCCAAATGTATTTGTGAATTATCATTTGTTTCTGGGTTTGAGCAGTACAAACATATGCATAATATTTGATATATCAATACTACTCTGTTGGTTTGTAGTGAGTTTTCAGTTGCAGAATATTGTGCTATGTTGACTATCTTTATGGGATTTAGCCTTTTTTGAACAAAATTCCACCCCTTCATCATTTAAAACAAAACCAAACTAGCAATTAGTGTTTGATCCAGGTGTGCCTCAGACAGCCATGATGTTAGAAGAAGGCTTGGTCTCTGATATTGACTTGCAGACGCTATTATCGAGTACTTTTAGTGTCTATTTTGCTTTATTTTCTATTTAGCTTTCCCCTCATTCATTTTGTGCTTTTCAGTTCATACCACCACAGAAGTAATGTTTTTAATCACTAAGTTTTCCTTCTCAGTGTGTGATTTTTTTTTTTCCTTAACTTTTTTCAAGGTCGCATGACCCACTTTTCTTTCGTCGAAATAAGATACATGAGATATACCACCACAAATGACAGCATGTACAATTACCATCACGTTCAAGCAACACTTCACTGATACGCTGTAAACAAACATTTAACACAAATGTAGTATTTGTGTGTTTGCTTGCTCTGCATTGATTTGAGAGACACTTTCAGAAGGAT